AATTATTTGGTTTCTATGTTTCTAGGGCTTGTTCGCGACTCGCCGATGCACTTTATATACTATACTAAGCGGCGCGCGTGATGTAATAAAAGTCGTGCGCGGTGTGTTTTATATATATAGACACATACATGCATACATACAATCGCAGGCTTGTTACCTTTTTTCTTATCCCGCGTTTATAATGTATATATGTATACGGAGAGAAGGAGAGTAAGAGAGAAAACGAAAAAAACGGGTCAATTAATGCAGCCAGCCCCCGCGCACGTTTTAAAGCTTCATGGCATCTTGAAGGTATCATTATCTCACTTGGCAGACGACTCCCTTTTTTATTTTAATACATGCATACTCGCACACATAAAGCTCTTCTTCTTCCTTTTTTTTTAACAGTGCGGCGCAGTATGCTTAGCGCGGAGAAATTTTCTTTCTCTCTCCATCTTTTTTTTTGTCGTTGCCTTCTTCTTCTTCTTCGTCTCCTTCTCGCTGCTGCTGTTTCCCTTCTTTCATTCTTCTCATTGCCATGTGCCAGAAGAGTGAAAATGTCTTTCGTTCTCGCGCAGCAGCAGAGCTCGCGAGAAAGCCCACATCGAGTACTTGGAAGCGAGAAAGTGCGAAGCGCAAACTCTCCCCCTCGCGTTTCTCTCTCTCTCTCTCTCTCTCTCTCCATCTTGCTCTCTTCTTTTCTTCTCCCCTGCAAACTCGCGCACACACACATACACATTTCTGCGCGAGCATACTTATTCCCATACACATTCAACGAGGAACGTAAGGAGTCGCAGACATTCGTATACGGTCATTGCCTCTTCTGTCTCTCTCTCTCTATCTCCCTTTTCTTCTCTCTTGGTAAAGGTGCATCTACCAACTTATACACAAACACACTTACATCAATATCGTATACGTGCGTCTGCGTACACGTTTTATTCCGACAATTTTTGCGTCGGGTGTATGTGTATACGTAAGACTCCGATGTCCGAGTTTCCTTCGAGGCAAGAACGCGAATCTATTTACCCAGTTGCCTACAAGTATACTATATACGCAGCTTGGCTTGGCGAGACAGAGCGCTTATAGCGCGCAGAAAATAGACAATACAAATGTGCAGGCGGCGCGAGCATTAAATCTTTCAGCTGCACACAGCACAGCAGAATCCATTGCCTCTCGTTGATCTTATATAGACTATATATACAGATACATAAGTGTGCGTATTGGCTCGCTGTAACGATTCTCCTTGAGAGCCACGAGAGTAAGAGAGTGAGAGAGACGAAGAAGAAGAGGGAGAGAGAGAAAAAAGAGCCCCAAGTGTGCAAACGGACGACGGCGAAAGTAGTTGTTTCTTGGCAAATGCCCGCGCAGACTGGAGATAGCAACAGCAGAGCAGTATATAAGCAGCGGCTCTCCTCGAGGAAAGAGAAAGGAGAACACAGAGCACGGCAACTATTACCGCGCTTGCCGCTTGCTCGGCTCGCTCCCCCTCTGTACTCTACTCTGTGCAGCACATGACGATGCGCAGTCGGAGTTTCTGCACTGCTTTGGCCCGTACCTATGTGTGTGTATACGTGTATGTGTGAGTGCGCTTCAATGGCATACATGCGCAAGCGAGCGAGCAGCAGCGGCTAACATAAACACATCGAAACAAGGTCGCGTTCGCTTACACATATACACAGGCACCACACAGACAGACAGCAGTGCAAAATGCACCGTCAACGACGACGGCTTCTAATTGCTCTAAGTGTGTGCACATGGCTCTCTCTCTATCTCACTGTCTGTCTGTATGTCTGTGCTGTATGTGTGTGTGTGTGTGTGTGTGTGTGTGTGTGTGTGTGTGTGTGTGTGTGTGTGTGTGTGTGTGTGCGTGCGTGCGAGCAAACGTTAAACCTGAGCAACGGAGCAGCGTGAATTATGATGCACGCGCGCGTAAAAACCTACGCTGCTGCACTGCGCGGCGGTAAAACTACACAACGTTAAAGAAAGACTGGGGCAAAAAAAAGAAAGAAAGAAACAACGGTAGCAGCAACAAGCACGCGGAACGAAGCCAGAGAGATTTCGAAAGGAGTGATCCTGACTCTTTTTTTTTGTCTCGAAAAATCCGACGAAATATCCATTTCGGCGGAGCCTAATGGGTATAGTAGGCTAGTTTCCGAGCGCTGAATACTGCGCGTGTGCACATACGTAGATAGACAGACGGAGAGAGCAGTGCTCCGTGAGTATATTTGGCATACACGAAAGAGAGAGAGAGAGAGAGAGAGAGAAGGTATAGGTATATGTGTGTATAAGCGCAAGGGCGGGTATTACGATGGACTTTTTCGGCTTTACCAGCTGTGCGCTCGGCGTACCTACTACTGTGCGTCGAGCTGTTATGTTACGTACATCGTATAGATATATATAATGCAAAAGAGAGAGAGAGAGAAGAGAGCGAAAAACGTCAAAGCCCCGCCGGCAGCTCGGATTGCTTCGATAGCCTGACGCCTGCTGTTGCCGGTATAAAACCCTCATCTCGATATACACGCTACGCACGCCCAAATGTATGTGTGTGTGTACCTGCGCACTCGTATACCCACCCACACACATTCGCATATAGCAGACATTCGGCTCGATGGAGCTTTGGGAACCCACAGCAGCAGCAGCAGCAGCAGAAGTGGTAGCCTAGCCGCCCGTGTACGTCTATAGATATATATCCTCCCTCTCGTGTTCAGCCTCTCTCTCTTTCTCTCTTAATTATTACGCTCGCCCGCGTTTTATTCGCACCCGTACGCCACCGCTGCTGCTGCTGCTGCTGCTGCTGCTGCTGCGCACACACAGAGCAGCAGCAGCTCGCCGCCCTGGGAAAGAACGATGGACGCTCACTGCTGCTGCTGCTGCTCGGGGGAGATCGTTACGGGTACACACGGCTCGCTCGCGCGCCAACCCAACCCAACCCGACCGCCGCCGCCGCCACCCCGACTCACCCTCCCGGACTTCCTCGTCCTCGCCTCCCCCCGTGTGTGCGAGCCGGAGCGAGGGCTCACTCTTTACACACACACATACGTACTCGTATAACATATTTATATGCTGTATAAAATGTATGTGTGCTGCGAACACGAGTTCGCCGTAGTTATTGATCATCGTCATTTACTTTTTCGCTGATGTGCAAGTTTCATGCACCAATACATGTGTGCTGAAGCCACCCACACACACACACACACACACACACTTTTACACGTAAGCCTGTGTAAGCGTGTGCGAGGCGAGTTTGTTCATCGCGATATTAAAAGCGTATGTTTACCTGCGCGAAATTCGCTACGGAATTATTTCGCTGTGTCCCTCGATGCAGCCCTCCCTGACCCTGCTGCACCTCCTTCTCCTCCGAGCCTCGTTTTTCGCGTTGGCCGGAAAAGCTTTTTATGCACTCGCTCGCCCACTCTCGTATCTCTCTCGTATCGATTAAGCGCGTGCAATTTTACGCGATAAAAATTCGTCGCTCTGCGCCCGAAAGTGCGTCGCGCTCGCAAAATACGTAGTTGACGTCGATTATCGCGTTCGTGCCCACACCCTCGCGCAGCTGCAAGCACGTCGATCGTCCGTGTGCGGTACACGATCGTGCCTGCAGCAGTGCACCCTCTTATTGGCTGTACGCAGTTTCGACGAGGGAAGAGAGAGAGAGAGAGAAATCGTTTTGAAAAAAGAATGCCAGTGTAGTATATGCGTTCGATGATGATCGAGCCGCTCCGCGAGTCCGACACATTTATGTTTTTCGTGCATGCGCGCGCGCGCGCGTGCTTGAAAAGCACTCGAAAGCTCGAGTCAGGTTTTCGAGTTCCGTACGCGCGCGATCGATCAGCTCGAGTTGATTAATTTACCCTCTACACAGAATCCCACTTCTCGAAAATACGGCAAAACAAAAACAATACCGCTCGTTTGTTATAATATTTTTCTAACATTTCCCTTTTCGTTACTTTTTTTTTGTTGTTTTCGATTTCGATTCCAAGTGCATACGAGTATCGCACAGCAGCATTTACCTGTTGCATTTACGCTCTTAAACTTGGTTTATTTATTTTCTTCTTTCTCTCTCTCTTACTGCTGGCTTTTGCGGTGAAGAAACACATTTCTCCCTCGGATCTTGTAGCACTTCTCTTTTTTTTACGCGCTCGCCCAAGGTTAAAGCTCACCGGCCAAGTCGAACGAACAATCGACACACTTTGGGATCGTTTCTTATATAAAACTCTGAACTACACGCTACACGGATGGTATACATTGTGTTTTAGCACAGCGAACAAGAATCGATCGATCAAAAAAAAAAAAAAGGAGGAAAAAAAACGTTAATCGCTTTTTGAGGTCAAAGACTCGTATCGAGCTCTCGTTGCCGTTGCTATGCTGTTATATGCTCTGCTCTCGTGTAGCAGCAGCAGCACAGAATATATGTCGTACATATAGTTCACTTTATACATACATACGTATATAAGCGGATTCGTTCATCTAAAATTGTACAATCAACGGTGTGTGCGGGGAGTTTACGCAACTTCGCGTTTCTGCTGGCATGCGGTTAGACTCATTCCCGGTAGGTTAAACTCTACAGAGAGATTCGCAGAGAGCTCGAGAGCAAGAGAGAGAGAGAGAGAGAGACAGAAAAGTCTTTGCTATATGCGCGCCTATATTATACACAGACACACCGAACATATACTCACACCTCAGAAGCTCAGGCAGCAGCGAGCAACTAATTATACGAGATGTACGTGTAACCCTTGATGATGCAAGATTTCCTTGCTATATATGCGATGCACAAGAGTAGAGTGGAGTTCCAAGTATTACACGAGAGATGGAAAGACGAGCAAATATCTCTCTCGTGAAGCTTTTTGTTGCCAACGGCGACATTACTACTACCGCGCCCAAGTTTAAAGGGGGGGGGGCCTATTTCTTAATATAGTAATTATCCCACGAGAATTGAGTTTTTGACCCAGTAATATATACGACATTTATTTTATCTCGCAAACGTATTCTAATGTGTTTTTGTTGTTGTTGTATCGTTGCAGGTCGTATCCGTCACCCGTGTCGAACGGCGGCAACGGCGTGGTGACGAACGGCGTCGCCACGGTGAACTGCTCCGGCGTGCTGGTGAAGCAGGAGGCCCGCGACGACGGCTACGAGACCAGCCCGGACCTGGAGATGCGCAGCACGGGCGGCGACAGCAGCGCCAGCCAGCAGTATCACACCCCGCTGACCCCGCACACGCCCCACACCCCTCACACGCCGCACACGCCGCTGACGCCGATCTCGGCGACGCCGCATCAGCCCCAGCAGCCCATCAACGGCGCGGCGGGCGCCGGTAGTGGCTCCAACGGTAACGGGGTGGCGGCGGCGACGCAGGGACAGGCGCAGGGACAGTTGGGACAGGTGAGAGCACGACGACGACGACTTCGTAGATATATGCATAACTCGAACCGCGACCGCTGCTGACCGTTGCAGCCGCATGCACATGCGTCACCGCGCGAAATGTGTTCTTGACGCGTACCCACCCAGCGGCAGTCGCTGTTTCTCAAACAATCGACTGTATTGCTTCCGGTTTCTGTTATCGCTCACGCGCGTATTTCTCCTAATCTGCGTATACTCGCTATATAGTACGCGGGTCGATAAGATTAGAGAGCTCCGAGCTGCGAGCGCGCGGAGGAACGTGGCCTTGAATACCGGCTTTTACGCGCGAAATTTTAAGCGCGACGAGACGGCGATAATTTATATTGGCTAATTCGCGCGCGGGCTCTCAATAACCCGCGTTCACGGCGCCAGTCAAGGGCTCTCGTTCTCTGACCCGCTTTACGTAATGCCTCCACCGTGCAATCTCGATCGCGCTTATTGTTTTCGTTACGCAAAAAAGAAATCTCGAGAGTGCCCAAATAAAGAAGAAGAAGAAAGACAAAGGGAAAAAATTACCATATCGGAATTAATACGTCACGCGAGGACGCGGATGGTAAATTAGCGGACTCGACCTCTCCGCATAGCGCCGAGAGAGAAAAGTTTATCGCTCTCTTCCCGCCGCCACCGAGTTCATAATACTTTCGGCTCTGTGAAAACGTGTGTATTATTATCCATATACCTATAGTAGTAGGCATTGGCGGGCGCGCGCAGGCATGTTCGAAAAGCTAACTATATTGGCGACGTCGGCGTCGTCGTCGTCTCTAATGCGCGAGCCGAGCCGAGCGAATAGCGGTATAACCAACAGGTGTTCAATAACGACTTTGAATAATGTTTGAAGTTCAAGCCTTGCGCGCCGCGCTGTGTTCGGAGCTGCATCCACGCTTCTCTTTCTGGTCGACCGAGAGAGAGCGAGCGAGAGAAAAGCTCGGGAGTATAATAATGTAGCGCGTGCGCAGTGCGAGATCGATAACTCTAGCCACGTCGTCGTACAGGGTAGGTGTATTATATCGTCACGCGAACATTTTTTCTTTCTCTACTTCTACTTCGTTTTTTTTTCATCAATCGCGTAATGTTTCGCGATAGGGAATTAATTATTTTCTTCCCTTCTCTCGCTCTTTCCGTGTCTACACAATAACGCGTCGCACGAGTGCCAATTCTCGAGCTCGAGTTCTCCCGAAGTAAACTCGAAAGCTCGAAAGCTCCCAATACAATATCGACTAATCAATTAGGGCACAAATTATCCATCCAATCGAACCTCCAATAATGATAACGTCCTTGGATTCTCGCGCAGGTATCGATAAAATGCGAGACCTCGGTGGATCCTTACTCGTTCGTCGACGAGGAGATGACCATGGCCAGCATGAGGCCATCCAGCAGCAGTCCGAGCGACGGCAATCACTCGTCCGACATGATGATGAGTAATCAGCAGCAACAGCAACAGGGACCACCTCCGCCGCCGCCACTCGGTATGGGCTCGCAACAACCGCAGCAGCATAATCCACAGCAACAATTGGGCAATCCGATGGCGAATTCCATGTGTCCGAGTCCGATGCAGCATCCGATGCAAATGCAGCAGCAGCAGCAGCAGCAGCAGTTGATGAACGGAGCGGTGAATCCACAATTGGGCCCGGTCCCCAAGAAGCGAGGAAGGAAGAAGAAGTGCGAGATGATTCTCACCCCGGAAGAGTAAGTCTATCACTATCTATCTAACGTATATCCTTGCCGTGTCACACTTGCAGGCGCGAATATTATTAAGCACGCGCATATAACGACTCGTTTCCTCGTCGTCGCGGGATCGCGACGATTTAATTGCACTCTCGGTGTAATTTGCTCGCGCGTACGTACGTACGTACCAGCTCGTGTCAAGTTTTGATTATGTTTATAGCGTACGTAATATAATAGCCTCCGAGCGCAGAGATTCGTTGTCCGATGTAAAATTGCTCGTAATAATTTTTTCTCTTCTGTCTCTCTCTCTCTACTTCCAGGGCCGAGCTAGCCGAGGCCAAGAAACGAGCGAAAACGTACAAGGAGCGCAAGAAGCACGACAGGTTCGACGGCATGCCCGAGGAGGAGGTCAGCAAGCGAGTGCTGCCGGATCATCTGGCGCCCGATCTCGACATCATCATCGTAAGTTTTACTTTCCCGCACGACCTCATCTAAAACTCTTGTAAAAGTCCGTATGCGAGTGTGTCCGTGTGTTTTTGCATGCGTGTACGATGATGAAGAAAAAAGCTCGAAGCCGAGAGAATCGAGCCTCATCAGCTTACAAGAGGCGTCGTTTTCTCTACTCTAGACGGTCGCGCGCGCGGCCCTCGCAATCTCCGTCTGTGACGACGACGACGACGACGTTTTGTTCGATGCTTAACTACTGCGAGCCGAAGCTGGGGCTCGTCTTATACGTAAGAGCTCGTATAAGCGCTCGTCGACGCTCAAGATGATTCTTGAGACCGACGACGACGACTCGTCTCACATTTTTCAAAAACTTCGACTGCGAAGCTCGAGCGGCGCGACCCGTGCAGTTAAAATTACTTCAATTTTACAGCGCCGCGAGGCACCAACTACCACTGACACGACCACCGGCATAAACTGTGGACTTCTCTAATTTAAAAGTTAAAAATTTCCTCCTCGGCAGAAGCCAGTAGAAAAGCGTGAAAATTTCGTAATTGAAACTCAATTATTATGACTTTTTTTTTTTGAACCCGCGTAGTAGGTACGGCCACGCGCCACTTGCACTTGCACAACCACCACTACTACCACTGCTACCACTGACTTTGTCACAAATTGGAAATGCGTAAAGTAAGTCTCTCTTACTTTCATTTCGTGCAGGCTGCACTTACATTTAACAATATCCTTGGCCCCTTCAGCGTAGCGGGGGGACGGGGAAGCTCACACCCTTGGAAGTAACCCAAAGGCAGAGGCAAGAGAGAGGCGAGGTGTAACTCGGTTAACGGGAGAAACGAGAGCTCGAGCGAGCGTACCAACGAAATTATTACAAGTCGACTCGCGCAATTTCGCTCTATTATATAGGGCGTATAAACCGAGCTTTGAGCCAGTCGTCCGAAGAAGAAGAAGTAGTAGGTACGTTTGAACGCGGGGGGATGAACAAAGAGAGGTACTACTCGCGCGCGAAGTCACTGGAATATTACAAATTTGACTTTTATTAAAAAATGTACGCGCGCACCATTCTTATAAATATGCGAGCAATAAGATAGTCGGGTTCTTGTATAATATCCTTCGCGAGTGTGCAGTGTGCATCTCTTACCTTCCTCTTCATCCTTTGGTTTTTTTTTCTTTTCACGACCTAAATTCATCGAAAATCAAGCGCCAATGATGATATATCGTGCTTACGTACGCGGCCTCATCGTCGCAGATACTCGACATGTCCATGGTTTTACATTTCAAATTAAAGCTTGCGAAGATTAACACGAGTCAACGCGCGTCGGAAAAGTAATATAAATGAAAAAAAATTTGATCCGGAAGAGAGAATGTGTACAATTAAATCCTCGCTCGCGCGCGCCCGACAAAATTGGTAGCGAGGCGAAATAATAGGTACGAAATGTGTGTGTGTGTGCAAGCTCGATTGAAGCATCGAACCTTTTTTTTTTCGTTGCATCGCGCGCCGAAATCAGACTATACCTATATATCTATAATACAAGCTCATGTGCATTATCCCTCTTTGATCAACTTGACAACGTCCGCGCGCGGGAGGCATATCAAAGATCCAATGGGCCAATTCGCGTGGTATAGTCCTCTACTGTACACACACACACGCACACATACTCGACGTTTGAATTTCCTTTTCATTACAGGCTTTCTCGCTCTCTCCCTCACACTCGCTCCGTCACTCTGTATATGGAATTAAAACGCGTTGAAATAAATTAAAAAAAAAAAAAAAAAAAAAAAAAAAAAAAAAAAGAGTGAGCGAGCCTCCGTACCACCCGCATCGGATATTGGTCGGTTGTGCCGCGCCGAGAGGACACATGACGCGCGCGCGTCCCTTTGTAGGATTTAACGCCAAATTGAGCTCGTATATAGCCGAACTTCGATAAATTTGTTGTTTGTTCGCATTTATATATATGTGTGCCTGTGTGTGGATATATAGCTTTTCCGATGCTTTAACGGGGCGCATTCGGCCGAGGGTATATAGTATAGTATACAGGTGTGTTATTTCGATGCGAGCGAGAGAGAGGCGAGAGTTATCTTTTTTTATTCTCTGCGACTGGTCGCGCATGCTGCTCGAATGAGCTTTAATAAAGTCTCAATTAGAATTATCGACCGATGAAAGGTTTTGTTTTGCTTTGTCGCCCGTTGTCGTATTTCTCTCTCCTTTCTATGTTTTTTGTTTGTTTTTTTTTGTTATTTTTATTTTTATTATTTTGGCGCGAGAGGCATCGATCAAACTATTATCTATCCGTATGAGTTTCGCGTGTCTCTGCAGCCGTACGAAGGCGCGTAACGAGCGAGGCTTAACGCGTCAACGTGCGTCTCTTTATCTCTCGACTGCTGCCGTGTGTGTTTCGCTGTTGGCTGGACCCCCGAATAAAAAAAAAAAAAAAACAACAGAGAGTACGAGTAGAATCGCAAGGCATAAATTACCGAGAGGAGAGAGGCGCGCGCGAGATAACGTCAGCCGAATAAAGGGATTATCCCATCACTCAAGGCTTTACAGAAGTAAAATACACATATTATATTGCGTAATAATCGCTATATAAATTCCTGGCAAGCGACTGTGACAGCAGACAAGAGAAGAGCGGGGGGAGGAATATATTCAAGTTGGTTTACAGCAAGACGTGCAATAATCAATGAAAATCCATTACGTCATTATATAATGTACTTACTTCGACGCGCAGCGATGCGCATCGAGAAGCAATAAAAAGATAAAAAATATACAAAAAAAAATTCATAAACCCATTCGAGCGGACTCGAGCACATAATCGTCGTCGTACAATATACATAAATAAATAATACACGGGCAAGAGCGAAAGTGACTCCCGGAGTATAACGAGGTACACCGACCATTCGTTATCGCTCTTTTTTCCTCGCCGCATCTTCTTCTGCTTCTACTTGTACTTTTTTTGCGCGTGCGGCAATATTACGATGTGCATTGATAAATCGATGCCGTGTATAAATTTCGCGCCGCGGCCCGTACGCTCGATTGAGATGTGCTGCTGCGGACTCGCGCGCGCGCAATATTAATCGCACTCGTTTGCGGATTCGCGCGCGAGACATTATGCGGCGTATACGTGTATGTACGTGTATGTGCGCACGAATACGCGGCAGTGGAATAATGAGTGATCAACGAAAAGTGTTTCGGTAAATTACGAGTAATGAATTATTGTAGCGCAGCAGTGGCGGCGGCGGCAGCACACATATAGAGCTTGATCGTCGCGTAGTCGCGTAGCGCACCTGTAATTATACTTTTCAATGACCTCAAGCGGTGGATGGTAGTAGTGGCGGTAAACGTTCAACATTTTGAAATTCATCGACGTCATTAAAAGGCCATAATCGAATTATTGGCGTCAGCAGCAGATTCATCGCGTATAGTTGTCGCGCGTACCGATGCTGCTGCTGCTAAAACTGGAGAGAAGTGAACGTATGCGCGTTTCGAAATGCGCGCCAACCGCTAAAAAATGATCGCGCTCCTTGGATTTTGGTATTTCATCCTTGGGCTTGGTATATTAATTACCATCTCTAACCTCCAAAGTGGCTGCCGCACGGTTATATACACGCGCGCGAGCGAGCATATTAGCGTTGCGCAACAGGTATACAATACACACACACAGCAGCAGCAGAGTAGTTAGTATACACCTGACCAGTTGTGTGTACACACATTTCATGCGCTCCGACGACGTTGCGTAATAGCACGCCGAGGCCTATGCTGTATGCGTACACACTTTCCGCATCTTTATTATTCTTTTTTTTTTTGCTGCCGCTCTATGTACTGCCTGCGATGAATCATCGTGAAAATTTATCGACGGGAGAAAAACTCGTTTTTTCGGAATGAAATCATCGAGCTTGCGGCGATATGCTACGAACGCACGAATGTCTCATTTTTTGACTGAATTATTCCGCATTCGTGTGTAATTTCTCTTTCTTTTCTGTTATTCATTCCAAAGTACACTAGCTGTTGTACTACTGCACAATATAGAGAGAGAGAAAGAAGCCTAATAAGTAACGCACGACTGGCATTAAATATGGAGCTCTGTGGGTCTCGCCCCCGAATGCGTAGTAGTAGCCCGCGATTATCCAAATGACAATAATTACATTTATCCGTGTACGGTATTATGTACTCTGCGACGCATGTGCCACCAACGAACGGGCGGCACAAATAGTAGCGTAGTAGCAATAAAGAAAACGTGTAGCTTACACGCGCTATACCCCATATAGAACGTGTGCAGTTGTGTCGCGTAGCAGCAGCAGCTAGGGCTACTACTAGGGGAGAGCCAAAAAGGAAGACAAAAAAAAAATAAGAACGACGCCGAAGGAAAGAAAAGAAATCGCAAGGAAACACGCTTCTGCGCGTCTGGGTATAGTAACAGAGAAAATAAAAGTAAGACGTCGCCTCGCGTTAACTAGGGGGATCGGGCGAGTATATACACTATCGTACGATATACGCGCGGGGGCGGTCGGGCGAACATCGGCGACGTCGTCCTTGTCTTCGTTCGTCCTTCTGCTGCTACTGCCGCGAAGTCGTCCTATACTATACGTCGTCTTTGCCGGAAATGAAGTGGAAATAAGCCTGCGTCTCTCTCACTCGCTCTACCCTCCAGCAATGTATAATGGTATATATACATAGGAGACCAGCAAGCAGTAGTAGTAGTTTCTTGCTAGTAGCTACGGTGCTAATTTTGTCGCTCGGTGCGCGGCAAACTGACTTCGTTTCGTCGAAAGTGATCGAAGTCGAGAGAGAGAGAGAGAGAGAGAGAGAGAGAGAGAGAGAGAGAGAGAGAGAGAGAGACCTTGTCGTCCTTGGACGCGCATACGTACGTAATATTATAGGTATGTGTGTGAATGTGCGTTTATGAGCGACCCCTCTCATTTTTTTTTCTGTGTGCTCTTTACGGTCGCGTACGTAAAGACGCGTAATCGCAGAGCACACATATTGGCCGAAATCTATGTAACTGTGTACGAGTGAGCGTACACAACATTTACCTACGTATAATCTTTGCTTTGGCTTTTTCAGATTGGCATCAATCCTGGTCTGTTCGCCGCTTACAAAGGTCACCACTACGCCGGCCCTGGCAATCACTTCTGTAAGTCTTCAAAAAAATCTTTTTCCTTCCTCGTCAATCATATATCTATATAATACACAAGTATCATCACGTGAAAATTGTCAGATTGTTTTTGGCTGCTAGCTCTCTAGCGCGCGCATAATATGGAAAACGCAGCTTTTAGCTTGGAGCTAGATCATGTGCGGGTGTGCATATTACGCATTATATAGTGTAACGCACACAGCTGACTGTGTCGAGCCGCAGCAGCGCCAAGTCCGAGTCGCTGCTTACGCAATGTATTTTGGCCGCCTTCGTTAAATATGCATAGCGGAATGCGTAATTTTCGGTCTGTGCGAAGATCGACCATGAGTCGTCGCCGTCGACGTTTCTGTTGTACACACTTGAATACGTGCGGAGAGAGAGAGGAAACGCGTTGTCGTATACACACACTTTAAGGCCATTACTCGCGCGATAACAATGCAAAATGCGCGCGCGCGAAACTTCATGCATATTTATACGCATCGCGATTATAAAAAAGCAGCGCGCGTGCGTTACGCAATTGCGAAATGAGCAACGCACAGCGGCGCAGCGCGGTACGCGTGCCACATCGCAGACCAGCGCGCGCGCGCGCGAGCTTTTCTCATTTTCATACGGCGAACCCCGTGCGCCTGCGGCTGCTGCGCAGGCATATAAGGGTGCAGAGAGAAAATATGCGCGAGGGCGCGGGCAAAATTTTTACTGCGCGGCGTTGCGCGGAGGGTGGCCCAAAAAAATAAAAAATAAAAAGTAAAACTCGGCACGCGCCGTACTGCGTGCTGCTCTAAAAAAAAAAAAAAAAGTTTCGACGTTCTATCTGGGTCACGCTCTCTCGCAAAAGCTCTCGCACACATATACGTATATATCCTATACCTCTCTGACCGTGCGTGCTGCTATGCTGCGAGCGCGAGGGGAAAAAATATTTGCGGTGTATAGAGAGACTGCTGCGATGAATGAACACTCTCTCTGCAAGCTCGATGCTTTCAATGAATTTATCGGTGCGCGCATATACACGACGAGACGTGCGAGCGCAAGATGACGTGTGTGTGTGTGTGTGTGTGCCACGAGTGTGAATGTGCTATACGTGTAAAAAGTACATATACGCTCGCGGATCGCGTCATCTATCTTCCGCCCCAATATGCGCGTGTATATACGATGTAATCTCCAGCGCTAGCTCGCACTCGCCGAGCTTTACATGTATTTCCATTTATATTTGCCGTGCATCGGTGTGCAGCGGAGTGTACTGTACGCTCTGGCTTCTCCATATCTTACTCGATTTTGTACGCGCGGCCGCGTGCGGTCGGCTCGCTCTCTCGAGCTCACGCTGGAACACATTTCACAAAATGTGTGCTGCTGCTGCTGCTGCTGCGGCGGCTTTAAAATTATTTATACGCGAGAGAGAGAAAACCCCCCGCGCTGATACACTTTTGCGCTCGTTTTCGGCGAGGAGCGGCCCGGATTTAGTTTTGTGGAACATAAATAGTAAGAAGGATCCATGTGTTGTTGCTCGAAGAATGTCCTTGTATACCGCGCGTGACGATCGACGTTATAACATTGTACATAGGTTGGAGCGAGGAGCCGAAGAATAAAAAGCTCGCGATATTCAGCCTGGAGGCGCTTTAATAATATATATTCCTCGGAGGAATAGTTCACTAATAGCTTAGAGGTTGGGCTGTTGCTGCTGCTTTAGCCACCCTCGCGCGCGACGATTAGCTCTATCCCTCTCTGTCACTGTTGCTGCGTAGCTTGTTATTCCAATGCGCAGCACGCGGGGGTAAATAAAAGGGCAGCAGCAGCAGCTACGCAGCTCGCTCGCATATTATTAGGTGCGCTGGAGGCACGACAACTATGTCGCGTATCTGGGGCTGTAACTATCCGCGGGCTTGACGCTCGCACACACACACACATATTCACGTGGGTGACTGCGGGCGATATATGTAACGGGCGCATACCTCGCGTTCGTGCACATACATAAACATACTCGCGAACAGACAAAGCTACATATACGTATCGCACGTGCGTGTATGTGCCCCTTGTTGCAGCACATAGTAGCTGCACATATCGCTACATGCTAAACTCTGTGTTATATACCGTATTGCGCGTTCGAACGCAGCTGCACGGTTGCCTAGGCTGATATACACGCGCATTATAATATAGGCTTGCTGCACTGTAGACTACTATACGCACTGCGCGATAATAGGAAAAAAGAAGCTCCGTCGGTGCCGGCTGTGTGTCCCTCGCTCGCGCGCGCATACACACACACACAGACACTGACACATACAGACGCAGCGCTGCACTATTATACACAGAAGCAAGCACGAGCGAGCTAGGCATCGGAGTGGAAAAGCTTCTTCTATTTTTAATGCGTGCACAGACAGAGAATGAGAGAAACGACCGAGCGAAGCGACTATATTGTTATCGAGTATATCTATATCAGGCCTAATGCGCCTTGTATATACCACCGATGAGCCGTTGTTGCTGCTGCGTGCACGAGAGGCTTTAATAAACATTTTTGCGCGTCGATGACTGCATAGCCGCGTAGCCGTAGCCACTGTGCAGCCTCTGTGCTCTGCTACGCGCGCATATATGCATGTAACGCACACGCGTCTATATACGCACATTCGTACGAATACGTGCGTGCGTGCGTGTGTATCATCGTCGCTGCTGTTTACGCAATGTACGCCTATTATGCCTGCATGACTAGTCCATATAATACCTCGTCGGTGCACACACGCATCCATAGAGAGAGAGAGAGAGAGAGAGAGCGCGCAGCACACCAACCCCCGGGAAAATCCTGGAAAATCCAACGTAGAGAAAATAACGACTGTAACCGTTCTCTCTCTCTCTCTCTCTCTCTCACTCTATAGCTGGCGCATCATGTATAATATATGGTATATAGCATATATATGCACATGTATGTGTAACGCTCAACTACCTTTCAGCCTTTCGCAGCTGTACATATATACGTTGAGCTTGCACAGCAGAGCGCCATATATACTTCCATGCTGCTGCTCGCGTAAAAATATATACATATATATTTGTAATATGTACACACACACGTATGTACTATATAGAGCTACATCATGAATGTATGCATGGTTCGCTCTCTCTCTCTCTCTCTCTCTTTGCCAGTGCAGCACATGCACATGCACGTGCATGTGTGTGTGTGTGAGTGAGTGAGTGCGCAAGAGCGACAGAGCGTTACTCTGCTGCCATGCAGCCAAAGCCAGACTCTATGCTAGCTGGCATGTGGCATATAACGTGTACACGTATAAGTGCACGATCATACGTACATAATGTATGTGTGCGCGTATAAAATATACCAGCTCGATTTTCAGCGCGCTGCGCGCGCTCTCTTCTTTCTTGTCAATTTTTGCCATTTTTCAATATTTAAAATAGAAAGACAAGAAGAACGAAGATTATGTTATAAACTGTTAACATCGAAATTAGTCTTAAGTCGACAATAATTTAATATTCCACTTTCTCGACTTACGATAACACTCGTATTTGCGCGCCACTACAATAATTTCAAGCCACTGAACGACCGACCAATCACAGCGATTAATAAATTGCTTATGCTAAAAACCTCACCACTCTTTTAGGATAGGATATATGTTATATATGTATAGAGGGCCCTTGTGGCAGCGTCAGGCAGTATCAGAGAGAGAGAGAAAGCCCGAAGGGGTGTAGAGAGGCAAAGAGAGGCGGAGAAGCAGCAGCAGCAGAGTGAGGAAGCTATATATATGTCTACCGTGGTATATATGTATGTATGGAGCTGCGAGGCAAGGGGGTGTGCTAGAGAGAGAGAGAGAGGAACGAGAGGCAAGCGGGGGGTTTTAGCAAGAGGTCTCTGCACCATAATGAGTGGTGCGAGCAGCAGCAGCAACAGCACGTACAGCCCTGACTGTGTGTGTGTGCGTGTATATGTGTATGTATGTATGTAGCCGACATAGCCCAAGCTATATCTACCTATATATCTATATAGCCAAGCGCGCACAGTGCATGTATAGCACTGTGCGCGCATAGCGGCTTGCGTGTGTATATAGCTATAGTAGAAAAGCTCGTGAACGAGCGAGCGAGAGAGAAGCACAGAATATATATAGAAAGGCTCTCTCTCTCTCTCTCTCTCTCTCTGCACAGGATAAAAAGGGGGTGGAGAGCGACGGGTTGGGGTGTTATATGCGCGCTCACTCGTTCGCTCGGGGGTAAAAAGGGGGGTGCGAGGCGCGCGCGCGGGCGGACGGAGGGAAGAGGTGGTGCGCGGGGGAGGTTGGATGTTGGATGCTAGAGCTGCGGAGCTCGTTCGTTCGCTGAATGCGCGCCAGCCCGAGAGAGAGAGAGAGAGAGAGAAACTCTGCTCTGGGGAGAAAAGAGCTTTCCGTACGCTCTCTAGCATATATATATATATACTAGGGGGGCTGCGCCCCCCTGCTCGCTCCGCTCGCCAACCCCCCGTTAGGGCGATATACATTTTATTTTTTAATGAGGAAAAGGGTTTATCTTTAATAATTTTATAGTTTAAAGATTTCTACTCATAATATTTATAGTCCACATTTACCACAAAAATGGACATTTAACCCAAAATCTACCAAAAAAAATATTTTTAAAAGGCCATATTTAGATGTTGGTATTGTGATAGTTTTGTCTTATGTATATAGGTCATATCATAAAAGAGTTAATAGCTCAAAAAATCGAATTTCAACTAACTATGTACTCTTAAGGATTATATTGAAAAATGAAAATCCAAAAAATCTTAGCCCTCTAGCTCCATCCCTCATGGATTTATAGGGGCTCAAAGTTGGATATTCAAATTTTAAATTTAATTCAACTTTTCTGAGGTGATTTTGAAAAAATGGTTGAATCATGTTTTTATGTGTAAAATTTGATGAGGAATTAAAATTTGTACTCAAAAATCATATTCATAGCCTAAAAACCCTTTAAAATGGAAAAATATCATAAAAGACCAAAAATAAAGTTGTTCATCTCCAGCGAATAGGCCAGAATTGTAATATGTTCATCGAAAGGCCAAAATACAATTTTAGATAAATTTTGGTAATCGGTTGAGCATTAGAGACAACCCATGGCATTCGATAGAGCAAAAAACATGGTTTTTCTCTTATTTTCCATGTTTTTTACCCTTTTGAATGGTTAATTTTACACACAAAAAACATGATTCAACTATTTTTTCAAAATCACCCAAGAAAAACAGAATTAAATTTCAAATTTGAATATCCAACTTTGAGCCCCTATAAATCCATGAGGGATGGAGCTAGAGGGCTAAGATTTTTAGAATTTTTATTTTTCAGGTAATCTTTAAGAGTATATATTTAGTTAAAATTCGATTTTTTGAGCCATCAACTCTTATAATATGGGTTTATAATTAACCTCTGATCAATATTAAAAAAGTTATAAACAATTTACTGCGAAAAAACACGATTTTGAATCTAGAAAGAAAAGACTTGAACTGTGGCCAATAATACCTAAAATTGTGGAATAATGACCTACAGTTTAAAGTACTGTATGTGGAATTTGAATATTCAACATGGTAGACTCCAAAAAATACACTTTTCCCAAGAAATTTACCAAAAAATGTTCCAAAAAATGTACTTTTTTGTTCGAAAACGATCAACATTAGAAAAAAAAGTTATTGAATATTCAAATCCTACCTACAGTACTTTAAACTGTAGGTCATTTTTCCACAATTTTAGGTTTTATTGGCCACAGTTCAAGTCTCTTTCATAAAAAAAATTTCAATCAAAGTTATTTTTCA